AGATCTTAATCAGACTGTCTCTGATTTCAATGCATATCATTGAATGATACAAAAAAGCTCTGCAAAAAGAGTGATCAGGTATTTCTTTCATTTATTCAGCAGTATGAGATGTGCAATTCTAGAGGGAAAAAAAGGTATCCTATAAAACCTCCTCTAACTTTCATTATTTCTCTGACATGTTTTTCAGTGTTAGAACTGAACCCTCTAGAGTAATGCAGATCCATAAAAGCAGTGATCTAAGATTAATAGTGAACAATCCACAGCCGGCTTTCAGAACAGTGAAGACACTGAATTTGGCATTTTCAGAGATACTGGTGTATGTGTTGACAAATTAATAAAAGTCTAAACTTTGCTACTGTGATGTCTAAAATCATCATCCTCATTTTGAGTTGCCATAATCATGTGCCAAACACATCTTTTGTGTTAGAAGCCTCCAGTTGCTTGTGCCTTGTGGTTTTCCTAAATCTTTCTCCCAAGGGTTAATCTCCTGATTACCAGTCTGTTTGGGCAGGCTGGTTTTCCTTTGCAGTGACACTTTCCTACTTCTTTGTCAAGAATTACTGACAACCCCCATTTCCTAGTCTAGGCTGTTGAAGTTACGTGCCAAAATAAGACAACGATTAAACGGCAGACAAAATTTGACATTCAGTAGTTTGCAATCTGATACAATTAGTTTAGTTAATCTCTGATATTTTACATAATAAAGTCTTTTGTGCTTGTGGCTATCAGTAAAGGCTAATATGTGTCACAGTAGGAAATACTTCTGACTGTAAATAAAAGTGAATGCATCTGATGATTTTTGTAGGCATCATCCTGCATCCCGTCTGGGACTCAAAAAGCAGCCCTTGGGGTCATAGAGCTCACATGACCTAGTTTATTCTTCATTAAAACAGATGGTATCTATCTGAGCAAGGCAAACTTGGTTTTAAGAAAGAGCTGGGGATTAAAAGGATGGGAAGCTGAAACAGCTGGGTCTAATTAATGGGAACAAATAAAGAGACAATCTAAGCATTACATTAGACATCTACAGCAATAGCAAAATATTCACTACATGACTACTCACTCAATTGTTTTAGCTGTTCAAAAGTTGCAGGATTGGTTTACCTAGCATCAAAAGTATCTGAAATTGCATCAGAAATGTTCCCACATTCTTTATTCTTTTCTGCCAGGCTTCAAAGAGAACAAAGTCCTGAAAACTGGCTATGGTGTTTTTGCATGGTATTAGGGAATCCTGCTTGTTTTATAAGACTGAAAATACCCCACTTGTGTTTGATATGTAGACCAAATTGGTCCTCTGCAGATTTTGGCCTCATCTCTGTGTTTAGCATGAGGTTACCTAATGGTGAAGATGACTGGCATTCCTTCAAGCTCTACAACCACATAAAATTTGCAGTGGGATCCAAGAATTTTATTGTTTCTGTTGTAAACAGATTATACTGGATTAGTGGTTAGCATTTTGCATATTTTATTCTGTTTGCCCATTTAGTCCTAAAAATCCTGAATTGTGTTGCAAACATCACAGGCCGTCTTCTTGCTGTTATTACTAGTGCCCAGAGACCTTCACTTACTATATGTTTTAGCAGAGAGAAGGGGCCTGTGCAAATAAACTACAAATAAACCTTCAGACTTTGTAAGAACAGCTGTTTTCTTGAGGTATGATCTTCTCATGTAGACACTGTTTTGCCCTGAAACTCTGGTAACATGTACTATAATAAACAGATAGGGATATATATGTAGAGAGTGTATGAAGCCATTGCTCTTCCTCCAGCAGGGTAGTACTTGGTAGATCCCAGGACTAATCCAGAATGGTATGATGTGCCTCAGGTTCTATTGGTTTGAACCAAATACGAAATAAACATGAGTAGACTAAAGTGCAAATCTGTAAACGCTGTTTTGCTTCATTCTTAGAGACAGGTATAGAATATTTCAATTTTAAGGTAATCATAAGGAATGATTACTTATCTGTCACAAAAGGTCAGCTTTAGTTGGTTCACACAGCTCTGCTCTGAGGTGATCGGGGGAAAAAGTTGAACAGTTCTTTCACAGGGATTAACAGAAATTGTTCCATCAGTTAGTTGTCTCCTCACCTGGAGTGGTGCTTTTATGGAAGACAAATAACACTGCCTTTTTTGCTTCCAAAGACCTTCCCTCAAATTTATTGTGCTGGACCTTCATCTTGCACAATGCCACTTAATGCTTCAGGTTTTTAATTTTCTTTTTATGAATCTGATAGGCAGAATTTCCATCTAGTCACAACACAACCTGTTCTTAAAAAACAGATTTTCTTGACTCTGCTAAACAGCCACTATAACATCTTGTTGCAGCCTACCACCTTGACTGTCATCCTGTTTATCCCTCCTCCCTATCAATTGCAGGGAAGAACATTTTAATGGCTAAAAGTATGAGCAAGTTTGAAGTGATATTTTTAATTATGGTAGTTTATGTATGTAAACTTTATCTGGTTGTTTGAAGACTGTCTAGGCATAAAACAGAACAAGAAAAAGCATAGCAGTTAGTCCTATGGAAGAATGGTGGGTGTGTGGGTACTGCCAGCTATAATGCAGGCCTAATGGATTTTATGAAAAGACTTGATGGGGAAAAAATACATATTATGAGAGGAGATGTCTGAAAACAAGTGTTACATGGCTTCTTGCTGTGTATTGTCTTGATTTTCATAGTTGCTTGCAACTGTGCTAAAGATGTTTGAAAACAGACTGCCTGGGATCAGTTCAACAATAAAACTGGTTAGGGAGGTTCTCTGTTCTCGCCTGTCTGTGTGGTCCTTTGGTTTTCCCAGAGGCTTTGTAGATTAGGGCCTTGCCACTATTCTGGAATAGCCTGCCAGGCTTTGCTGTTCATGGCAGAGATGTTTTTAAGGAAGAAGTATTTCCAAAGTTAGAACTATTGCTAAATAAGTCCCTGATAGGTTCTTTTTTGAAAATAGATGGGACTTGTGATTTCTTTTATTATTGCTGTTGTTTCTAACCAGTGGTTTGTACAGATAAACTAATGGCATCAGGAAAAGTAAAGCATTCTGAAATAAAAATTTCTTAAACAAGTAGAACAAGTCCTGAAACATGTCATCACTAGAGATATAGGAACAATTAGATATATGTTGACTTTTGACTTTCCTGTTGGATATGTCTGTGGAAGCACTTTGTTCATACAAGTATGAAAATGCATTTAAAACCACATTTGCTGAGTCCACATTTGGAAGTCTCAAAAATGAAAGATGGTTTCTAATTTCAGTGTGCCATATGACTATCATTGTTCTTCACAGCGTTTTTACTCAAGTTTAGATTTCAGCTCCTAATTCACAAACAACCCAAGTTAATTTTTATTTTTTTTTAATCTGTGCATGCAGTATAGATGTAAATAATCAGTATTTAAAGCAGCTTGAACAGATCTCTGCTTGGAAGCTCTTGGACCTTTTTTTGCTGTTTGTTTGTTTGTTGGTGTTTTTTAATATTACTTGTTTGAGGTTTTTTTACTGCAGAAGCCCATCCCTGAGCAAATAACTGTTTGCAGGTATAGTCATGCAATACGACTGCATTGTGAAAGGATTTCATTGCATGATAAATTTTCCAGGGTAACCTGATGGTTTACTTTGCCATAACAGCAGGCTTTTTCTGACACCTGTATGCAGTTTTTATAGTTAAAGAACTGTAACCTGGGACAGGTGGGAATGTATTTGATAGAATCTTTTGTGCTTGGGCAGTGGTAATCCTTGATGTGTTTGTGTAGTGAGAACTTCTATCTTGAAAACTGGCTTTGGAAGCTGTATTGGTAGTGGAGCTGCAAATTCCATAAAACTGGATTGCTGGAGTTAGTAGTTTTTAGTTTGTGGGTATTTTGTTTTTTAGTAAATGCTATGTCTTAGCAACATTTTAAGTGATTGGAAAGAAAAATTGTTAAATAACATAAATTTTTTCAGCTGAGAATACACATACAGAAAAGTATTTTAAATGTAAGTTGAAGCTACCAGAGGCAAAAATTCCCTTGTTCTTTTCTCATCTCCCCAGTAATGCAATTTTAGAAGTTCATATTGTTAGTTTCTTGCTCCTACCTATTTCTCAAAAATGTATTTCCTTTCACATACGTACTCCCTTTTCTGTACCTGTTGCACATTTTAGGAAATTGTCTGTACTATATATTGATGGTAACTGATCGACACAGTCTGAAGTCAAGTAACAGACCAGTTAATAATACTGTAACAGGTCTGCATGCTGCCTTTCCGAGGGTATGTGCAAAGAATAGGACAATTGCAAGCTGAAGTATAGGCTTTTGACATTTCTGGAGAGTAACCTTTTGCAAGTTAGGTACTTGTTTTGAATGCCAGGTGTCCTTTATATTGGCACATATTTCTGTCTGAGAATGGGATTAAAAATACCTGGTGTACTGTTGCAATGGAACCTACATGGCATTGTTTAATGAGCAGAAAAGCAATAAGAAACCACCTAATAAGCTGAAATATGTGTTTGTCTTCAAATGTGTAACACTGTGCTGCACAACAAATAGCAGTCTGGATAAATGTGCCAGTTTTAACTTCGATTTCAGACTAATAGAGATAGTTCAGTTATATATGATTGTCTTGAGTGCAATGCACTTAAAAGGAACTTCAGTGACTATTGAATAGAGAAATGCCTAATTCTTTATTTAAAAGTCAATATGTTTTTATTTTCCCTCTTTGTTTTTTAGAGTGAAATGGAAAAGGAATACAGTAGCTATAAGAAAGGTCAGGCAGCTGCTGTTTCCAAGTGATGTAACACTGAGCACTATAAGCAGATTTTCGAAAAATTATTAATTTTTACAAGGATCAGCAAATTTTATATGTATTTTTCCATTGCTTCCTTATCCTACTGAATCGCTTCACCTCTCTGTGCACATTTAAGTTGATAGTCTCCTGACCTGAATAATTTGAGTAGGTTTTAATTTAACAAATTATCATTGTTTTTTTTCCCTTTTAATGATAAGTTGATGTTTCTGCTCCAACTTTTCAGGCACAGGTACCTTTGGACGTGTTCATCTGGTGAAGGAAAAAATGGGCAAGCGTTACTTTGCACTGAAAGTAATGAGCATTCCTGATGTCATTAGACTGAAGCAAGAGCAGCATGTGCACAATGAAAAGTCTGTCTTGAAAGAAGTCAACCACCCTTTTTTGATCAGATTGTAAGTTGTATTTTTTAATTCATTTCATTCCTACAGAAAATGCAGTTAAAGTAGTCCAGAGTCTCATTGCAAGTTCTTATGTATTTAACCAACATTAACCATTTGATTTCTCGTATGTAATCTAGATTAAAATAGACTTTGGAATGAAGTTCATATTTTAGAAGAATCAAGAATTTAAAATAGAGGCATAATTTAAACACTCAGGAAATAATTTATTATAAGGTATTTTCTCTCTTTTATTTTCACACTACAGAAGAGACATTTTCTGAAGTGAGGGAAAAATGCTGATAATTGTTAGGATTGGCTCATCAAAATGACTTCTAGAACTATCCTTGATGTTAGAATGGCAATGAAAGTATTCTTACGTGTATGTGCTGTAGCTATTAGAAAATAGGTAAAGACATTCCTAGACTTAAATATCTAGGTATTTAAAAACTTAAGTGAACTATACTTTTGCAAACTTTATTTTTAAAGAGTTTAAATAACTGCCGCACTTCCTGAACTTAGGTATTCCTGTATTTAAGGTTGTCAAGTGATGGAACCTATTGAGAAGCATGATTTAAACACAGTTCATAAAGAATGCTTTTTTTTTTAGTGGAATTGAGGTAACTCTAATGATCCCTATAGCCCCATTGTTAAAAGAGATAAGGTATCATGCGTTTCTGTTCACAGCACCACAGCACTTCTTGAGTATCTGAGTCAATGTGTATTAATGGGGTAACTAAACTTCTGGTAATGGCAGGTTAATTTCCATTTATATTTTCTCCTGCATGGATGCATGGCTGGCTATTAACCAAGATTTCTTTCCATTTACATGCTTTAATCAGTTTTACATAAAACTAGACAATATTAGCCTTAGTTAATCTAGCTGCAGAGAGTGCAGCTTCCTGCCATGGTTAAGCAAGTATCGGAGGGAAAAGAAGAAGGCAACAGCATGGTAGTCATTCAGAAGATGGAATGAGCCCTGCAGAAGGAAGCTTTTTCCCTGGTGTGATGTTGGCTTTTTCCAGCATCATGATGCTATTAGTTTCCAGCTAGTGTTCAGAAAACCTGTGTGTGGCATAGTATCAGTTAGACAAATTCTAGAATATGTAGAGATTAAGATTCATGGAAGAAAGCAGGATGGAGAGGCTGAGTACATCTGGTTAGACTGTTTTAAGTATGGATGGAACGGGACAAACGGGATTTTGTATATATATATCTGTGTACATCTGGAAATTGTTTACAAGAAAACCTTACGAAAACCGACAAGCAAACTCCCAGACAAACCCCATATCAGTAGGTCTGTGTGTCAGGAACAGCAGGAGTAGAGGAATTTGGGTGAGATACCAGAGACAGGGATGGGAGGATTCATGTTCATACAGAAGTGATCAAAAATCCAAACAGGGGAGTTTTCCTGGATTTCATTCACACCTTATTTACAAGAGACCAGATTTTTCAGGTTGCCAAAGGACACAATTCATAGTTCACTTTGTATGCAAGGCACACACATATTCTTCATGTCTTCTAGAACTCTGCCTTTTCTGTTGAAATGTCCAGTGAGATGTTGCATCAGCTATGCTCATGTAATTGTCTATGTGATGCCTTTTTCCCTTGGCAGAGGAGACTCCAAGCAATGTTGTTGAAGTGAGGTAGTTAAAATTCAGGTCACAACAATATTTATGTGCTTTAGGTTAAACAAGCCTTTGTGGATGATTATCACTAGACTGCATGACAAATAACACTTCCTGCAGCTTTTTGTGTGACTAAATGTTTTTTTCAGCCGCCTTCTGCTGAATATATGTGTGGGGTTTTTTTCTATTAATTGTTCTACTGTAAGTCTTACACAAAAACAGGGAAAAATTACATAGTGCAGCTTTAATACCTTTAATGTGTTTTATCTATATGGTCTGTTTTTTAGGTTTTCAGTTAGTTTCACTGTCTTTACCACTGATAGTATTCTCCTTTGGTTGCAAAACACGGAATAGGTCTCATTGCAGCATAATATTTCAGGATAATATGATGGAAAATTATAAAGTAATGCTGCACATAATTGATTTCTGGTGTTCAGAAATTCCAGCTATCTTCCTATATGTAAAGAGTTTCTTTTTTTTTTTCCTTTTACTTTTGAGAAATACCTACTATAAACACAGGGATGTACAGTTTTTCTGTAGACACTGGAGTTACTAATCTACATATTGTTTTAAACAATGTTTTCTAAATACTTCTTTGGTGCTTTTGTAACAACTGATCACTGGAAATTCCTTGGCAATCTTTATTGATGTGTTTGAGTAATGTGTCATACTCACTGTGGTGCAGCTCTTCATAGTGAGATGTTTTTGAAGAGAGGAAGAATTAATAAAAATCAGCGATGTCTTGTATAAGCTAAAACAGGTTGTTTGTCTGTAGGAGTTCACAATAGCATCTAAAGTTTATGTAGTAATCTGGAATTGTAGAGTTAATGATTCCACGCATGATTCTAATCATAGCTTCTGTGATGTTTTTTTTCTCTTTTTGTATTAAATTATCATTTAAAATAATCTGAATTGCAAGTACAGAAGTTCATTTTGCTCTTTTTCATGTATACCAAACAATGGATCCATTTTTCAGTGGATAGACAAACCTTTAAAAGTCGATTTTCAAAGAAATTAATTCCAGTAAAAATCCTGTGCCTAATGATGTAGATGTTACATTTTTTCCCCTCTGTACTGTCAGATTTTGCTCTTCCTCTCCCATAAAGATGTGGCTTGCTTTGTTTCACCCACTCCTGCTCTACTTTCATTACTTATTGTAGGTACAGCTTTACCTAATTGCCTAAAATACATTTTCAGAGTGTTTTTGCATAGTCAGTAAAGATAGTATGAACATCATCAATAGCCAGTTAATGATGCTGATGACTGTGTTAGGGAAGAAGTTCCATAAAAGCAGAAGACAAGCCTGGGCTCTTCTTTCTCCTTCACTGAGGGAATGGAAGAGCTGTAGCTGATGTCTGTTAGTTCTCTTATTTCCTTGGTTGCCTCAGTACCATTGTGAAAAATAAAATCTTCCTGAGTAAAAGTCATTCATGTGTTCAGGAGCTCTGTTTCTGCTTATCTTTCCTGAGGCTCTCTGCCCTGATTAAGCTCAAGGTACTTGCGATACTGGCAAAGTGCTGAGTAGAGGCTGAAATAGCTTCTGTTCTTGTATCACTGTATCAATAAAGAAGGTGACAGTGTTCTCTACCTTTTATTATGGAATTAGGGATAGTTCTTTTTTAAAATGATAGCATTCCTCAAGATGCTACCAAATACTTGTTTTCTTTTTAGCTGCTGAGCTACATTTAGGGGTGTGGTGAGTTGTTTAATGTAGATAGAATGAAATATGGCATAATTTAGGGGCGTGTGGAAGAGAATATTCCTCTATTCTGTAATGAAGCATTTTAAAGCCACATATAATTATTTTCTTTCTTCCTTACCTCTTCTTTCTGTTACTCTGACTACCACAGAAATAGCTCTTAAATTAAAGGTGGCAGTCTGAGGAATGGAAGGTACCTGTCCTTAGATTAATTCTGAAGTACATAAATGAACCTTGTTTTGCTGTCATTTTTGCTTTTCTGTTGTTTTTTGTGAAAGATGCAATAGAGAAGCAAGAGTTGTCGTCTGATGCTTTAGTTGAGATTGTGTATCTCCAGGGAAGAAAGCATAGGAGAGAAGGACAGCGCTTTGGTGTGTGGCTTTGAATGCATTGTCTTGAAAGTCTTTACAAAAGCAAACCCCCATCACTTGATAATGCTTGATAATATAAAATGTAAGGTGTGTAAAAAATGTTTAGTCTTTATATCAGATCAGTTATTTGGTGCTTAGAAGAGGCCTGTTTTTTACATACAATGAAACAGAATCTATGAATTTTTTTTTTCTTGGCCTGTACTTGTCGTCAGCTATCTGGTTTACATTACAGGTTAAGGCAACTACTTGAATGTCTTACATAATCCTGGATTCATGGGGGTTTAATATCTGCAGACAAGGAATCAGAAATTAGTTATGCACACGGTTGGGGCAGCAGAGGCCATTTTAGAGACATTTACTTGTAAAGTGAATCAGAGACGTAATTTCTTCATTCAGTAAAACAGTACTTTTGTTACAGATTTTGGACCAACCACGATGAACGTTTTTTATACATGTTAATGGAATATGTGCCAGGAGGAGAACTTTTTAGTTACCTGCGCAACATGGGGCGTTTCAACAACAGCACAGGACTGTTTTACTCGACGGAAATTATTTGTGCAATAGAATACCTGCACTCCAAAGAAATAGTTTACAGAGACTTAAAACCTGAAAATATATTACTAGACAAAGAAGGACATATCAAGCTTACTGACTTTGGATTTGCAAAAAAACTGGTGGACAGGTAAGTGGGGTTTTGTTCTGATGATCAGATTTTGCATGCTAAACAATTAGAAAAAATGTTTGATTTTAGGTGCTCAGCATTTGATTTAACATTGCATGTGGTTCACACATGTCAAATCCCTTAATAAGAAGGAAACAATCATCTTAAAATGTCTGTATGGAAAGCAGTATTACTCCTCAGATATAGATATATACCAGATAGATATAACCAGGAGCAGTATCACACATAAGCAACAACCGAAAAATATTTTTGTATAGCTGGTTTTAAAGTTTTCAGCAGTCATGTTGTATAAAGGGAGTTCAGGGAAGTAATACGAGCAAATGCTAAGATATATAAATTAATCCTCCATATATACTGAATTGCTATCTTTTGTAACTTATGTTTCCTTCTGTTTTCCTTTTAGAGATTTTTAAGTGTGAGAATAACATTTTAAAACTGGATACCGTGTTTTCACTTGCCTGTGGCTAAAATGAAACTGTGAAAATCTAGACAGAATCCATAAGGCCAGCTTCAGCAGAATTGATTAATTTAAATGTAGCTTCTGTATTACTGTCAGCTTTAATTACATATGTAAACTTCTTAATAATGCAGAGGCTCTCCCTCAGTGATTTCTCTGTTCAGGCTTCCCTTCCAAGACCATAAGAGATATTTTTAAGACTAAGCAAGTGCATTGGGATTCAAGAAAAGGGAGGTAAAAGCCAGCCTGTTGTATCAGAAGAGTGGTGTGACAAGGCTTGATGTTATGCCTTTGAGTCATGTCTTGAGGGAGACTGTATTTGATTGTTCTGATTGAAGCAGCACAGTGGTAAGTTTGGTGTTATGTAGGTGCTCATCCTCTTTTGTCATCGACCTGTTGGATGCTGCTTTTGCAACGAACAGCTTTGTGTGTGAGGACAGTTCTACAAGGTCAATTTGAAAGGAGAGTGTGTGGGTGAGGGTCCGCAGTAATGCAGAGTCCCCAGGCGGGTGCACAGGAGAGCCACTTTATTGCAAAAACCAGGCCTTGTTAAGTAGTTGGTCCATTATCAGTTACATAGTTTTAAATCAGTTTTAAATCATAACAATTCAACCAACAAATTCAGTATACCACGATGTGAACACACAATGGTTATATAACTTGTTTTTCTGCCTCTAATTCAGCTGAGTCTCTTTCCCACAGTCCTTTTCTGCTTAGCCAAAGTAGCTGGCCCAAGCCATGATTTAACAAGGCCTTCCTTTTGTAAACTTTTACTTATTGGAAACAAGAGTGGATCTGAGGAAGCTGCTTAGTAGATCCCTTATGAAGTAAGAGTCAGATGAGACAAATCAAGTCACAAAAGTTCTATTCACCTTTAAGGTCTGAACATCCGTTTTAAAACCATAGAATTTTATTTTGAGTGTCTGAATTCAGTTTTCACTGGGCAACCAAAAAGGCATACGAATGATGGCCTTTAATTTTAATACTTAGTTTTTAAAGCAAAATAACTTTTTGCAGGAAGGTGTAATGTACTTTCATGTGAGAAAGTAGCACAATCTCTTTATAAGACATTGTCATACAAATACTTATGACTTGCTCTTTACATGTAAATACTGCCACTTAGTGGTAATTCTTGTTTGTGTATCTGGGGGTTTAAGGCACAAGAGAAATAACCCTTCATTAAATAAGGTGATAGTTAACATCAGAATATATTTTTCAACCTGGGAGATGAATCTCTAAGAGTAAATTTGTTCAAATATATTTTAGGATATCAAATTTAGCTATCGCTACTCTTTTTAATTGGGTTTGTATTTCCCATATTGCTTGGGGGCCAGTGAAGTTGATCAGTGTGTTGAATCGTAGACGGTGGTAGTAGTTGTATATTCATAGCTGATTTACCTTCAAATGTACAACAGGTAACATAAATACAGAACATAAAATTGGAATGAGCAAGGACATTATCAGTTAGAGCACATTTTTATACTTATAAAAATCTGGTTTCATTTTTTGTCTTACTGTTTTTTTTAAACTACATAGTATTCTCCCCACTAGCTGAAATCATCTTCAAAATATTTGTTTTCTCACTGTAAAAATGCAGTTATCAGCCCTTTATCCACTAGTGCATCCCAGTAGGTGCTTTTGTTTATGATACAGCCTATATGATCAAAATTATAGGAGATATTTTGTCATTTTTATGCATGGAAAATATCTATACACATGAATATTACGTTTATGTATGGGTGTCAGTGAGTGTATAGATGTGTGCATATGCACAGCATACACAAATAGCAAAAAGAAGACATGAAGTATTTAAGTTTTTTGAGCATTGTGAGGTAACCTGCTCTCAGGATCAGCAAAGACATTCCTAGAAGGAACACATAATACATAAATGAAAGCATGGTCTGCAGAAGACTTTGGATACACTTGCATATTCCAGATACATAATACTTCACATGAATGATTCTATAGCTGCCTAATTGAGGTTTTTCTGCAGACGTTTTCCTTTGTTCCCATGACTTTGTGTGAAGGGATGAAATACTCACCTCGTCCCTCTGCAGTTAAGCTGCTCTTCAGAAAGAGTGTCTGCCTCATAGCTCGTATTCCCACTGGAGAAAGCAGCCTGCACTTGTACCTTCTTATTAGTACAATTTCTGAAGAGCTAGACTCTTTAATATTTTCTTTTTAGAGACAGAAAAGAGAGGAGGTTTTCTTTGCTCCTTCTGTTCCTTGTTGGTATGTCCTTCTGTTTATCCTTGTTCCTCCCTTTTCACTCATAGTGTACGTTTAAAAATTCTAAATTTTTCTCCAAAACAGTGTGTCTTTGCCTCAGCTGCTGTTTATTTCTTCTCTTTTCCACCTTGATGTTGCTTAACTGAAGACTTAATAACCTTTTCAGTTTCTTGTAAGTACATTCATATAAAATAGATATGCCACTACTTTTAAAAAAGGGCAGTGTCAAGAAGAAAGTTGGGGAGGGGGTTTTAATTTATAAGAATTAAGAATTTTACAGCCTGAAGGCTGTAAAAAGGATTTCCTTTGAACTTTACAGCTGTTACATTTGTAGACCTTTCTCTTTCTGAAAAGCATATACCACTTTTGGGTACAGTATTTTTATCGAAAATTTTTTTCTGGTCTGATTTCTTTATTTTGTGTGGTTTTTGGTTGTTTTTTTCTGTTTTGGTTTGGGTGTTTGGGTTTTTTTGGGGGGATGGGGTTTAATTCCTATGTCCTTTCAGGGAAGCACAAAAGTAATCTGCATGGAATTTTATGGATTTTTTATGGACATATTTCACTCAAAGTTATAAACATTTTAGGTAAAATTAATGACTTCAGTGATCTCTTTTTTTTTTTTCTGGAATGTTATTTACTGTTAATTTTAGTTTATTCAGTTTACATTCCTAAAAAAGAAATTTACCTGTGAGTCTTCCTAGAAACTTGAGAAATGATTATTCTTAAACATATTGGGGATAGTTCTGCACTGTTGCTTAAGCTGGATGTGCCTCATGGCTGTTCTACACAGTGGATTGAAGAGAGAAAGACTAAGTAAGACACAGTAAGTCTAGTTTGCAAAGTGTATCCTTTGTCACTGTAGAATCAAGCAAGAATGTCTTGCAGAACAAATTTTTGTCAGCTGGATTCAAAGCAATCTTTGTTAAATATAACTATAGAGAAACCGCCAGAATACCAAAACAAACGTTGTTAATCTGGCTTATATGAAAAAAGCTTGTCAGGTACTACAGAGATGGATGCTGAATGATGTAGAATGCTAAAGCACATTAACCACTGAGTACTCTTCAGAAGTTTCACAAAATTATCTTGTAGCTTATCTTTGTAACCAGAGTAGATTCTTTATTTCATGTTTTAAAATTACATTCAACCTTATCAATTAGCACTTACCTCTATTTCAGCTTTTATCTTGAAAATTCAGAGCAGCGAATATTTTGTAGCAGTTTGAAGGGGAACAGTCTATTCTTATTTTTTTGCATTGCAATTTATCTTCAAAGAAGTTATCTAGAATTTCAGGTGAATATCTGATAGTCATAAAAAAGTAATGATAAAAATTAATTTAAGATATTAACATTTTGTAGCATCTGCTACAAAATGGTTAGTATATTTACTCAGAAATATTTAGTATTCAGAAATAAATAGTACTTCAGAAATATTTAGTATGTCTGAAATACTAAATAGTCTGTTTCATGACTAGTAAGAGGAAACACAGGTCATGATCTTATGGCACAAACAAACATCTTCAAAAAGAACGTGAGCTTCTTCCAAGTTTTTGTGTAGTTAGAAGATACATATTTCTTGATTGAAATTAAGGAAGCAGTTAATGTGGTGGTAATAAATTTTATTTTCTAGTGCAGCTAGGGTCTTCAAGTTACATTGGCCTTAATTCAGAGTTTCCCTCTTGCTTGAATAAAACCACAGTAAGAGTCAGCTGCTTCATTTGCATAGCTACTTAAATGAGTATGATTAAGTTGAATGATGGGTACATTTTTTTTTTTAATTTGGGAGAGGAAGAAATACCTAATTTTAAAAGATGACAGAGCTTTGCTATTATTCATAATTCCATAATCCTGATCTAGGTAGCTGCTAGATGGCAGTAGTGTAAAGCAGCACTGTATGTAAAAATTCAGTATGCTTGATTTGGAAGATAAGAGTTTATATTTTTTAGATAAATTCATGATAGAAATTAGTGATGTAGTCTTTGCACTTTAGGAATGTAGTTTCAAGAACCTTGAAGCACACTGGATGCAGTGTGCCTAACTCTTCTGACAGTTTTGTTGGAGTAATTTAGCTTTTGCCATAGTAAACTGAAGCTTAAGGAAATTCAAGTCATAATTCTTCATTTGAGGCCTTAGCTGACTGTATAGTTCCTCTTCCTTTATCTTAACTATTTTTATAAATCAAGGCTAAGGCTTAAAAAAACAACCAACCAGAAAAAAAAAAAATCCCAAAAGTTACCTTTAAAATATTTCAAAGAATCATAGAATATGCTGAGTTGGAAGGGACCCGTTAGAATCATCAAATCCAACTCCTGGCCTGGCCCAGGACATCCTCAGAAGTCACACCATGTACCTGAGAGCATTTTCTAAGCGCTTTTTGAGCTTTCTCAGGCTTGGTGCAGTGATCACTTCCTTGGGAGCCTGTTCCAGTGCTCAACCACCCTCTGGATCTAAAACCTTTTACTGATATTCAACCTAAACATTCCATGACTCAGGTTCATGACGTTTCTTTGAGTCCTCTCACTGGTCACAAGAGAGAAGAGAGCAGTGCCTGACCCTGTGCTTCCCCTTGTGAAGGTGTTGAAGACCACAATGAAGTCTCCCCTCAGTCTCCTCCAGTCTGAACAGAACAAGTGCCCTCAGCCCCTCCTCATACAGCTTCCCCTCCAAAATCTTCACCATCTTCATTGCCCTGCTTGAAACACTCAGGTAGCTTGGTGTCTTTTTTACATTGTGGTGCCGAAAACTGCACACAGGGCACAAAGCGAGGCTGCATCAGCACAGAGTAGGGTGGAACAGGTAATCTTCCCTGCATTCTCAGAAAAAAGAGCTTGAATTAGTATTACTTCTAAAGGTGATTGCTGTTCATCTTAATGCATTTGTTCAGGAGGATGTTACCATTTCGATTGGAGAAAATTCTTCCTCTCACAAACACTCAGAGTTGTTTTTGGTGCAAGTTAGAAATCATGTGCGGTGGCCATTTGTGACTATATTTTTTGTCATATTTTACTAGAATTTCTTTTTAAATGTGATACGGTATTCTTTCTTATTCTGTGCTGTGATTTCAATTTCTCTTGAATTGGTGAGCACATTTTCAAAGTTTCATCTTCTGACTTGCTGCTGGGGAAGGGTAATATATTCAAAATGAGAGCACATTATTTTCTCAAGTGTACATTTAAACCTAAGTCAAGGGAGTGAAGCCAGGCAAATTCTACATGGGCGTTTTTAAAAAAAAAAGTTCACATTTCTGGGAGAAATTATTTCAGAATATTCTTCTTTTCAAATGTAATTTGGTCTTAGTAAACATAACAGTTTCATTATTTTCATGTCTTTATAGAATTTGAGCTAAAATTAGCTAGAAATACAATGGTTTTATCCTCACCTTACCATAGAAAACTATGACTAAGAATGTCTTTAAAATATATCACAAAAAGTACTGCCTGCTTACCTCACACTTGCTGAACTACATCCTGTAAACATTTTAAATAACTAAAAATACAAAATGTTGCCCTTTTAATGAATACTGTGGAAGTGATGACAAATTAGATTTCAGTACTGTTTGGAAAACTTTACTTAGATTGTAAAACAAATCTTTATGTATGTCCAACTGTTTACTGATTTCAACTACTACTTCCTTAAAAACTCCCTCCTTCCCTTTTTTTTTTCCTAAATGAAACTTTGTTTTGCAGAAAAGACCATTATGCTTCTCTTCTGCTGGGCCTGTCAGAAGTAGTCCATGAATTCCCAGGGTCTGCGGCTTACAGAATGAAAAACACTGTTAATAATTCAAAACAATGTATAGTGTAATGGGTAGAGTACCACAGCACCAACTGGGAAATTCAGTGCACAGATATTTTCTGAGACAGGAAGTTTCTTACTTTGCGTATATCTCTGTTCCAGGAGAATTGGAGAACATCATCAAAGCAGTCTGTTTAGATCTTGTTTCTTATTTCTGTTTCTTTGTACAGTAAATATGTAGGTGTATGTTGTGTACTTGTTACACATGTGTTTGGTTTTTCCTAATACTGCTATTTCAGTTTCACTTTGATCTACTTTGATTGTTTGTTTTGTGTGTTTTGTTTTTTTTTTTTCCTTCTTTTACAACCAGAACATGGACTCTTTGTGGCACTCCTGAGTACCTTGCGCCAGAAGTTATACAAAGTAAAGGCCATGGAAGAGCTGTGGATTGGTGGGCCCTAGGAATTCTTATATTTGAGATGTTGTCAGGGTAAGTGATAATTACTGTATCACCGCAATATTATGTAATTCAGAATTATTTGCTATTGTAAAAATTTACGTTTACAATATTTGGATTAGCAAATTTGCACTAAATTTATTATTGATATACCAGTTTAATTTCTGGCTTTGAAGAAAGGAATTGGGAAGCTTTACAAAAGAACATATATCACTGTTATAGGCATGTTTTAGGGTTTTGGGTTAATTGGCTTTGTTTCTTGGTTTGGGTTTTCTGTTTGGTCTGGGTTTGTTTGTTTGTTTGTTTTTTACTTAAGACTTTAACAGCTTCTCTTTTCCTTATATGTTTTTGGAAATTCAGGTTTTGCCAAAGTTTAGATTTTTATTCACAAGATCCTTTATATTTAATGGGTAAAGAACAGGACTACTTCTGTGATTAATTTCCAGTGTAGGGAAATCCTAGTTACAGTGGGATCTTCAGTCCGTAAAAATGCACAGTGGCAAGTTGGAAGACTTTTATTAATACAGTTTGTATTATGACTGAGCACTAGTTTCCTTTAAACCAGAGGAAGAACAGGGAAAAGCCTTATAGGTCTGTTTGAAATCAGTTTGCTCAAATGCTACTTTTGGTGTTTTGGAATTTGTTTAATAAGCAATGTTTTCAGAAAATTCAAATTCATACTGAAGAAACAGTTTCTGGCATTAATGTAATTAACTGTTCATGACTTTTAAGATAAAAATCGTTGTCTCAATTTGCTCTGATTTCAAAAAATATTTTTTTCCGTAAAGTAAATAATTGATTTAGGTAGAATGTGAAATTGTACTTAAGTGCTAAACAAGGCATCTGCATGGTTTATGGCTTTCCTTTTTTTTTTGTCTTGGCTGTGTTGTTTGAGGATACTTGAAAAAAAAAGATTTGGATTTTTGAAAGGAATTGGCTTTGCAGTGTTTAGTGCTATAGGAAGCAAGGCTTTCATAGCTTCTGAAGAAACAGTATATTTCATCAGTTTTATTTCATAGTTCTTAGAGCTTCTGCCTGGTACCTGACTCAGTGTGCTCTACACCTTCTTGGTCTCCAGGTGTATCAGGTGTTGTCTGTGGCTTTTCCTTATAAATCTGCAGCCTTGTAGAATGATCAGAACAAAGTGTCCTTGCTTGGATTTATTCATCCTTTTCTCTGTGCGGTACTGTAATTTCAAAGTGACTGGTGACTCTTCCAGTGTTTGGACAAGCTTGTAAGTTTGCCTGAGCAAGTAGTTCCCCTGATGGATGGGTGGTCACTTCAGAGCTCTAATCCACTGCATGTACTGCTGTGAAGTTCACCTAATAGCAACACAACTTTACCCCAGAACAGCATTGCTACCCACTGCTTGCTTTCTTAGTGTCCTGAAGGCTTGCATATACATTGACTTTGAATCCCACAGCAGTTTGTGGACAGAAAAGCAACAAAAATATATAATAGTTGCTGGCTGATCCAGGCTGGCTGGTCTAATATGAAGTTGTTATTTATGTAGGCTGATCTGTATAGAGAACAGGCTTCACCTTTCTTCCATTGCTTCCTGTAAGGTGAGAGGCCCAAGCTGGTCAAAAGAGTACTTCTCAGAGAGATGAAAGATTCTCAGAGAGAAAAAACGAGATTCCCAGCAAGCTTGTTGCCACTGCTTTTGATTCTAGACAGCAGGAAGACTGTACGTAAAAGTGTCTGGGCTGTAATGTGAGCACAGGCGCTGCAGTTACCCAGCTGTGATTTACCTTCCTGCCATGGGTTTCAGTGGGACCACTCTCTGTTAGGTCTGTGTGGTCTCAGTGTAACTGAATATTTGGCCTTTTTTACTTGAATGCCATATAGAGATGTTGATAGGATTCTCTCCATTAGCCTAATGGAAACGTGGGTTACAAAGTTAACATACTGAATACAGGTGGCAATCAAGCAAGATATTTGGAGTCATTGAGACCTCAAGACTGCAGGGTGCTGAAGTATGACTGCTGTGTATTCTACTGAAATATGACTGGTATATATTGTTCATAAAAAAGGGAGCAGCTGTGCTCCTATATAAGAACTTCTGCATCATGACACTATATGCCTCAAGGGGTGAGACCTGGATTTCAGGATGGTGGGATGGCCGAGAGGTGGCCTAATACAAGCACATTGGCTTTTAGAGACTTGTAACCAGTAGATATCTTACACTTTCCTGAAAGTCAAGTGAGGTTTTATATAGGCTGACTGACAGAGCAGCTGTCTGCTGTGTGTGATTTTCTAAGGTTTTTTTTACTACAGTACTTGTATAGACATGCTCTTCATAATGACTGAATGCTGCTTTAGATAGGGACTCCATCCAATACTAAAAAATAAAACACAGCAGCATTCAGTCATTTTCCAAAGCTGGAAAAGGAACTCCTTATAAGCTTGTTTGTCTGGGGTGTTTGCATTTTGAGGTTTGTTTTGGTGGGGGGAGGGATTTGTTGGTTTGGGTTTTTTTTAAATGGGGATATAGGTAGATAGTACTTTGGATTTTTTTTTTTTAGGAGATGAAAGGAAGGCAGAGATTATAGCTTGTATGTGTTTCCTTTAGATGGGAAGGTTGTCGCAATGAATGTATTATGCTTTTAGCATTTTATCAGCTTTTTACTTTTCTTGGCAATTGTGTTTTGAAGCACTTTCCCTCACCAGCTCAAGATATGGCTAGATATTTACTATCAAGGCTTTTATTACAGAAACAGTCCTAGTTAACTTTTTCATTGAAATTCAAAGAAGATTTAAGAAATCTGAAAATATTTTGAAGGTGAACAAAACCTGAGTTCAAGACTAAGTTATTGTCTGCAAGTAAATTAATGTAAGACATTTGATAGTTATTTCCTGAAGTTAGTCTCTCTGAAGCCCAAAAGCAATTGAAAATAATTGGTAGGTGTGTGTAAGGAAATGGCCTCTCTAAAAACAAACAAACAAACCCACACCTTCCTGTTCTGCAGTGTCTTATTTCCCCAATTTAATCTCCAGAGGCCCATGGAATTCTTCTACACAAGCTAGGTTTAAGGCAAGGTCCTGTTTAGGTTTAACATAGCAAGATACAGAAAGGGGAAGGAACAGGGAGAAGCAAGGGTGAAAAGAAATCTTAACAGATGAACAACACCAAGTTCATAGAGTTAATCTAAACAAGCTAAACAAACTGTCAATACAAGAGTTGGAACATCTGTTCATTTTGAGTAAATGAGTTCTGTTACAATTTGAGGCAGAGAAAAATATGCTTGTTACTTAACATTAGGTATGTCATAATTCTACTGTTATCAGATACGCAGCTAATATGAATTTTGTGTATTAATGTGGGCTTCACTTTTTTTGTTTTTGCTTTGGTGGTCATATGTGATGTGCTGTTCTGCCATTTTAGGTAGGTTAATGGTTCCTGTCTGCAGTTTCATATTCTCAGACGTGTGTGTTTTCCCTAGAGGTCTTACAACTTCTGTTCTTCAGACTGCCTTTGAGACTTTACGTCCATGCCATTGTTATGCTTCAGTTAGCAAAAGGAATGGTTTGCAGCTGTTCTCCCATTTACAGAGATGATATCTTTTGTAGCTTCTTTGCAGTTGGTGAAAAGGCAGCTGTTTATATTTGTGTTGTGTAGTAAAGAAAGTCTGAAACTCAAGGGGATTTTTGTTGATTTATTAGATAGCTTTCAGCACAATACTTGCATTATTTCGTCTAAAATCTGTGCTGTGTTGAAGGTTGACATTTACAAAAAGCATCAAAATCAAGTTACTTGGTTTGTCCATTAGAAAACTCTGTAATCTTTCAAAGCTGTTCTCATTTTACATACAGTTCAAATACACTTTAAGTAGAATTGCCATAAAATCACTATATAGCCATGTGTGATTTAAATTTTTCTCAAGACCTCTAAACATAGTAATTTTGGATTTTCAAAATGGGAAAACAAAGAGCAATTTAAACATGTAAATATGAAAAAAAATTATATGTACTTCTATTCTTCTTGATTTCACACCTCAGTGATGTACAGTAATAGGCTTACTGCAGCTGGCAGCTTTGTAATACGCAGTTGCAAAATATCATTCTAATTGTTTATGCATTTATAGATTCTAATACCTAATAACAAATAGAAAATTGAGTTTGTTGACTTGCTCTGGAGAATGTGAATGATACTTATATTGCTTGGCTAAAGAATAAATTTACATGATAGTCTTTCTTATGTGTGAAAAACCTGTGCGTGTTAAATAGCAATCACGTTTTTCTTGTTCTTTAGTGTCAAAGCAGGAATTTTTAATAACACAATTATTATTCCTGAGATTCTTCTACTTTCCAGTTAGCTTGAAAGTAGTTTTTCATAAAGAAAGTACTCTGGCTTTCTGAACACCAACAAGAAATGTCCTTTAGTCTTTCCCTAACCAGGTAGTTTAGTCATGCTTTTCAGTGCTTTGAATTACTACTTTTTTTTTACTATAAGCCTACAGACACCTTTACTTAATAATTCTGATGGAATTTGATTTTTTGGGGGGCTGAATTTTACAGTATTTCAAAGGGTATGCTAATCCACTTGATCATCAGCTGAATAATGAAGAAATAAATACTTATGAAAACGTAATTGAAATAATAGTACTTGTTGAGAAATAAGCTAGTTTGAGTACCATAAAATGAAAAAAAGAGCCTGAAGTGAAGAAGTGTTGTTTTCATCCTTGTTTTTATGCTACCAGTGATTTCCAAAGCCTCAAGCACTGTATTTGTGTGTGTATGCATGCAGTTAAGTTCTCCAAGAAATTACAAAATGTTAGAGAGATGTGAAAATATTTTAAATAAACTGTAATAGTGGTTGGATGTTATTAATATGGTCAGCACTCAAAACCTGTGGGTGTTTTTAATTCTGTAGGGGTTTGGAGGCAGAATCATAGTAAGAGGGTTGCTTTGGTCATGTTGTGGAGGGCAAAGCAGGACTGAGAGATGGAATGAGTTACTTCATTCCCTTGGAAGGTTTCCTGTGGTAACTTTTAAGAACATGACTGACACTCAGAAAGCTGTTGGCCCTTGTGCTCAGCTGCCTGTGCTGGCTGTACTGATGCACCTCTTGCAACAATTGGGGATGTACTATACTAGAAAAGGAAGTACAGTAGAAAACGGTTCTTACTCTAGCTGTACAAAACAAAGTAATGTCTCTGTTAGCTCATAAATTCAAAAAGAACTTTATAGAAAATATAAATGTAGAATTTTAATTACATGTTATTTTACTATTCATCATGGGGAAGATTGTGAAATGCAAACTTTATCTGTCCCACACAGAAAGCCAGCTGCACTTGGAGAATTGTGAGCAGTCTGACTGTTTCAAAAACCTTATCTAGCAAAACATATATTCAAGAAGTACAAGAAATAACTGAACTGGATAGTGTATTTATGTGAAGGTCCTTTAATACCTTAGACAGAAACTGGTAAATAAGGGTGTGCCTTTAGTTACAGGACAAGATCAAAAATGGTAATGGGTCTTTTGGAGAGTATATCCCTGGGCTTTAGAGATAAAGGCAAGGTATTTTTTACTTTTAACACTGAAAATTGGTTTCATAAATTATATTTTTACTGCAACTATGTAACAATTTTATATTTTTCTATTCATCTATTTAAATTTTAATTCTGCATTCAGTGTGTGGCATACAAAAATGTTTTCTGTATTACAATGGCAGCCTTAAATTGTTCTTCAGGATACTATTTGATTGGTAGTGTCCTGTCAAAATGAACAATATAATCAGTTATTTCTGAGGGGAATTACTATAACATAATACCGCTTATAAGATTTTTAGAACTTCTTCTGACATCTGAAATTCTTCTGTATTAAAATAGGTTTCCTCCATTTTTTGATGACAATCCATTTGGTATATATCAGAAGATTCTTGCTGGCAAAATAGATTTCCCGAGGCATTTGGATTTATATGTAAAGTAAGTCCATGAATCCCTCTTTTCTATTCTAAACACCTTCTGAGCACTGTTTCTAAAAAATCTTTTTAGACCTGTTTTCAGATTCTGTTTTTCTGAAACATCATGTTGGAAAATATTTTATATTACATTTACACTTTTAGTCCAAATAAACTTATATATTTGGTAGACTTAAAAGTGGTGATGCAGTTGCAAGATAATCTCTGACTCTTTTCTGTTTGTTAGGGGATATTAAATGCTTTTCCACCTTGTGCAAGCCCCATTGACTTGTACTGTAAAAAGGTCAAGAGGAGAAATATGAGATGATAGTCTGAGTAAAAATTAGGAGAGCAGGAAGAGAACACTAAACTGTTTCTATCTATAGATACATAACACTTAAATAACTCACGGTGTAATTACTTGAGAGAACTCTGCTAGTTCAGAAGTTCTAGTGTAAAATCAACTTACATTTATTGGCAGGGGCCCAGTTCAATATGCAGTATTGCATATGCATGATATGTGGGTTTATTTCTCAGTATTTAGCAATTGTTAAAGGTATATTGCAGATGAAATAGGGTTTTTTTTCCTATTTAAAAATTCCATAACTTAAATTATTTTTAGTAAACATTAAACAGAGGAAATGCGAATATAAATGTGAAGTTTCTCCTAAGAACCTGAGATAGCTGAGTGGATGAGTGAAGACAGGAAGTTATTCCTATGTTAATCATTCATGATGTTTTGATAGTGACCTTGAGAGGTACTTGCTTAGTGTCACTACTGGGTGAAGAATTAAAAGCAAAACTAACCATTTGAGAAAGACTGCTTGCTTGTTTGTTTGTTTTGCTTTTTCATTCAGGCTTCCACTCAATCATTGGGTGCAGTGAATGAAGCATGTCTTCATCCCCTTAGGCTCACTATGGGGAGACTAGTGTCTCGTATTTTATCTCTTTGTAACAGTTTTCTCCTAGGAGCTCCACACTGTTTCCAGTTTAGTGTAGTCTCATTGTCTGGTCTTCCTAATCCAATTGGTCTTGGAAAGAAAACTGATTATTGCTTGTCGTGTTCTGTGTACTGAAGTATAATATTATGATCAGAAGCTGGAACACCTCAAATTAGGTTATCATCCTAACAACCCATCCAGTATACTGAAAGTAGTTACAGAGACTTATATGGTCACCCTTGAGCTCCTTTTATTCAGGCTAAAAAATTCCAGCTTCCTCAGCTACTCCTTGTAGGACTTACCTTCCAGACCCTTCACCAGCTCCATTGCCCTCTTCTGGACATGCTCCAGCATCTTAAAGTGAGTGGCTCAGAACATCTCTTTCTTAAAGTGAGTGGCCCAGAGCTGGACACAGGAGCACACTAGGTGTGGCCTCACCACTGGCAAGTAGAGGGGGGACCATCACTGTTCTGTCCTGCTGGCCACACTACTTCTGTGGCTTCACTTGCTTTCTGCAGTGAGTTGTGAGCACAATGTCTTGGCTGTCAGCCCCCTCTGGGTAGTCTTCTAACATCTCTGCATCATTAGCTTAAAGCAAGTGCCAAGATTATTTTGCCCAAGGAAGGCAGCCTGCTTCTTACCTTCTATCCCATCTGTTTTCTCTCTCTCCTTCCAGTAAGTCAGTATTTCAGCCAGAAAGAAGGCTATCCTGGGTCCTAAATTCAGACTTTGTGTGATGTATCAGTGCTATGCAGTGTTTTAATTCTCTGTTCTGAGGCAGCAAAACTATTTCCCCTTCTGAGCTCTGAGAACACTTTTCTCCCTAGGCATATGTACTACTTGAGCTTATGGGCACTCAAGTTTTTTACTCACCTACTCCCTATCACCCTCCCATACTTTTTACTTTCTGAATTCGTACCACTTCTGCTTTCCCTCCTGCTGCATGAATGTCATTCTTTCTTACTGCTTTTTTAAACTTTTCCATGCAAAGCCAGTTTTGGAAAACTCCAAAAGAAATGTCAATGTTACAACATTTTACTGATTGTTGGTCTGAAGAGACCTTCATGTAGAGTTTGTTTCTTCAAATACATACACCAACATATCTATTGAATTGATTTTAACATAATTTTTAAATAATTTTTTAGAACCAATGTAATAAAGAAGTTCTAAACCATCTATTATTTGTTTCAGTTCAATGGATATTTCAGTTACATGGTCCAATGTAGCAATTATCATCTTTAGTGACAACACTATCACCAAATAAGCTCATCCCTTAACTGTTTTATGATAAATTTTTGAAGCATACCAAGAGTGATCCATGAAATGTTGTCTGGTTTTATGGGAATAGGAAAGTATCTTTGACCATGAACTCTGTGAATCTCTTTTTGGATTTCTGTATTTCTTTTCAGTCCTATTTCTGTTTTAAGTGTGCTTATAGTCATCCTTGTAGCCTCTTCCATAAGGATTGGTCATCTTTGTGAAGGAGAAAGGGGTATTTCTGTGAAGGTGACTGTAAAAAGAGTTGGTCCCATGATTTAATCTAATTCAAATATTGATTGTCTGGAATAATCATGAGAGTTTTAAAAATTGCATTCTATGAGGTCTTTTTTATTTATCTGATAATATAATTTTTTTTCCAGTTGAATTTTAGAATTGCAAATGTAAAATGCAACAGCTTTTTAAAGTAGCTAAAGTCTAGCACATTCAGTTCATGTTTTTTTCTGCACGCACTTTCGTGATTTCAAGGATAGGTGACACAATGCTATTTTTGGGAGGGATAGTAGACATTACAGGTAGGAATGGAGAGAGACAGGTGTGTCACTGTTATGTTTGTGTTCTTTCCTGTAAAGAAAACTGTTGACTTTGTTGTTTGTAACTTTTCATATTGTTCAAAACTGTAACTAGCCATGCTCTTTAATCTCCAGCACTATGTGCTGTCGTCTGTCAGGACTACTTGAGATTATAGGAATAAGGATGGTTAAACTTTTGTTCTTTCTTGTCATTGGCACTTTATGCAATTAGTCCAGAATGACATTTTTCTAAAATCAAATAGCAAAATAATCTTTGAGATAAAATATAACTGTTTATAGAAATAAAAAACCAGATTTCTTCCAGCTCATAAGTAATCAAGCTAATTATATTAATTATGATAGTTTTGGTTTATGTCATAGTTGTTTGGGGCTTAATATTTGAAGTATTTTGCTATTAAAATGGAAGAGTTTTATGTCTCTAAACTTTCTTTAATCTTTTATAATTTTGATTTAGCTTTATGTAGAACTGTTCAATGAACCAGTTTCTTGGTCAGGCTTTTTGTTTTCAATGAAATTATAAATGTTGCTGGTTTTAAGCATCTGACTAGCTCTTCCATGGTTTCCCTTGGTATTTAGCATAAAGATGAGGGTACGGTTTTATCTGCTTTTTTAATATATATTAATGTTGAGTTCTGACAAACAGATTAGAGATTCATTTTGAGATTTGGAATGCCCAGCGAAATGCCAAAATACAAAGACCTAAATGGTGCTATCTGGCAAGGGGCAGGGGAGGAGAGAGTTTTTTTTTCCTTTGTTTCCTGTAAGAGTCTAAAAGAAATCTGCAAGAATTTCTTTTAATTCTGTTAAATTGTTTAATCTTCATTATCCTAAAATATGGGGGAACAAATGGGTCAAAGGGAAGCATGTCTATCTTCCGTAACACTTGACAAATATAAATTACTTCTGTTTAACAGAGAACATGTTTTCTTTACTTCAGAGACCTTATTAAGAAGTTGCTTGTGGTTGACAGAACAAGACGACTAGGAAATATGAAGGTAAAATCTTTGCTGTAACACAGAACAAGATTGAAAGAATTCTATAGGAAAGATATATATATATGGACCAACTCTTTATAGAGTTTTTGTTTTTATAAGTATGAAACAGATACATTTTCCGACAAATTACTATGGTTAAGCGGTCCTAAATGCAGAGTTTAAGCTGTGTATTTCTGTTTTTCTGAAAATCATTCTCCTATTTGGATTAATGCTATCCTTCATTATGATTTCCCTCTCTCCTCACCACCACCCCCACCACTACCCTGTTCATTAATGTGAAAACCTAGATTAGACCAGAAACACGGTCCTGTAGTGCAGAGTGCCAGCTCATTTGATACTTTTTTTTTGGGGAGGTGTTAATCCCAGAAGGAGCAATAATGAAATTGGAAGTTTAAAAATTATTTTTAGGAGTATAAGGATTGTTGTAGTACTGTGATACCTGGTCATTGTCTTGGAGGGGCTGATTAAACACAGTCAAAACTCTTCCACCAAGAATTATTTACTCTAATAGGAAGAGTTTTATGAAGCCTATAGATACTGAAATTAGGTTGTATAATCTTTCAATACTTTAGAGACACCTAAAGTTTCTATTTCTCTGGCCAAGGGGTGTTAGAGGTTTGCTCTTTGGCCCAAAGCACATTGAATGGTAAGCATAGGTGAAGAAGGTAAAAGATGTACAATCATCCACGATTTTCTTAACATATTGATATAAATGATTTAAGCAGCTGTGCAATGTTTTCTTTTGGAGCATTTTTATGGCACAAACTTAGACTAGTAAGAGAAAACAGGAAATAATGTTTTTCTTATCCTTCAGCATCCGTTGTAGTGTTCTTTCAGGGGGATTTCTTAAGCTGAAAACTTTTAAACTCATTTACTAGTGAAAACCTTTATATCTTTGGACAGTTATGAAGGAAAACAAGAACAAAAGAAAATCTTGACTTATTCAAACATGAGCTTTGGTAAATGTGTTTGACGGTGCTTTGTGTTGTTTTGGGGGATTTTTTTAGTCCGTGGTTGCTTAGGTTTGTTTTGGGGTTTTCTCTACAATTGACTAAAATGCTTAAATCAAAAACCATTCTAATTGAGAGCAGATTCTGGGGTGGGAGCATTAGGTCAGACTTATGTCTGATCCTTTTCCATGATCATAATTGGTTTAAAAAGATGCAAATCCCACTGAACATTTTCTGGGTGAAACATTCACTCAAATCTGCTTTTGAGAGCACTAGATACTGTTATCCTTGATGCCTCATTGGATATGAGCATGGATAGTCTCACTCCACATAAATCTGAAAAAATCTAAATATTTGATAATGCTTTGTTTTGTGGAGCTGTACCTGGTATAATTTTGAGTGCTGTGCTGTGATCAGGCTTGAGACAGAGAACCAGCTGGTTTTCCCCAGTGCTTAATGCCTTCAAAACAAATCAGTGCTTTAAACAAGCTTAATCGTGAAAAAGAGACATTTTTATTTCTTACATACATAAATAAAACAGGCACCCCAGAGAGAATAATCTCTACAAGGCAAATACACCTTTAACTGTATATTTAAAATGAAAACAAATTTTAATATATTTACTTTTGTAACAGTACTGAGAACCTCTTGCTGTCAGCATAAAATGTCTGTAATATTTGAAAAAAACTCTCTGCTTCCTAGACATTATTTTTATTTAAAACACCATCAACCCTCTTTTTTTTTTTTATAGGGAAAGAATTAAAAATTATATCTGAATAAAAGGCATTGTCTAAAACGTTGGAGAAAACAAAAGTAAATAGGACAGTAGTGAATGGTTTTGTGGGTACTTTAAAGCCTGTTTTTGATCTCCATTGTGTCAGAAGAATGCTAAAAAAAGCCCAAACAAATCTCAAATCAAAAATAGTTGGGTTTTGTTGCTGAAACTCAGGACCTGCTAGGGAAATAACAAATGAATGAAATGAAAATGAAATTAAAATTAATTACTTTATCCTTAAGAATCTTTTAATTGTTATCACCTGAAAAAAAGAAAAAAGGATAGACTGTTAGTCTGCTTTGATATCACAGTCCTTGCAATGAAATACATAGTTTGGCATACATGTAACTTAAAAAATAGTCATTTTGATTTCTTTCGTTAAAGAATGGAGCAGATGATGTGAAGAGACATCGATGGTTCAGGTCTATAGACTGGGATGCTGTACCTCAAAGGAGGCTAAAGGTACATTCTGCAAATACTGTATAGGACATCACAAGGAGAAATCATTGTTCATTTAAGATCTGTTGAAGGTTTGTTGGCTGTTGCATCTGTGTGTTTGTGTGTGTATAACCATGTGTCTATATGCACACTTAGTAATTAAATGCATATTTGCCTTTTTGCAGTGCAGAGTTAATTGTATGAATGTCTGTTTTCATTTTTGTCTATAAATGAACCGTCTAAAAAAAAATCCCTGCTTTAGTTTGCTGAAGCTGATTAGTTAATAGTTAATGAGAAAATTTAGTTTAGGGTTTTGTAAGTGATTCCTTGTTGTAAGTGTTTTTTTATTTGGGGAGGTGAAAGAGATTGATAATTTGTTGGTGTGGGTTTTTTTGGTTTTGTTTATGGGGTTTTTCATTTGTTTGTACTTGTTTTGTTTTTTTTTTCCTTGTCCTTACATATAAGGAAGTATTTTACTCTGGGCTTTAAATTTTTGTGCTAAGTTCAATTCAGGTAAATGTTTTAATAAAACGTAAAACACGTGGGAGTAGGAGGAATAGGGAAGCTGAAAGAGAAGGATTTATGAATGTAATTCCAACACTTTTTAATAGCACTGAATTCTAGTATTATATGATTCAGATGTTTCCAACAGCTATCAACACTGCAAAATGCTTTTTAAAATCCTTTGGAAATAAAGCTGCCTTATTTCTTTACTTCCTCAGAGTTCTAACATGTACAATTCCTTACAGCACTGGTTTTCTGTAGCAGAGGTTGGGTTACCATATGCAGTCAATTAAGTGCCAATTTGTTTTTATTTTCTTTGCATTAGTTTCTTGCACTTAAATTCCAGGATGATACCTTGAGTTCTTGCAAAAAGGAAAAAAAAAAGAGGCAATATTAAAATGTTCTTGTTGTATTCTTGTAAAAAGCATCTAATACAAAGCTGTAGGTGAATTTTCTCTTTAAGAAAAACAAGTTTATAGTGTTCTAAGTGTGTGGGTTTGTTCCATTTTTAATCATTACTGCACCAAATTGATGTTTTATGTATATGCGTTGTAACAAAGTCACATTTTTCTAGGTACTTACTATAAATTCTGTTTACTGAAACCTGCAAAGAACACAAACTGGATGATAACCTGTTTTTAAGTATATAAACTCTGAAGTTTATAACAACCAAACGAATAAAAAACAAGTAGTATTAAAAATGATTGTTAGATGCACAATCAAATGTCTCAGGTCCAAATATCCTATGTGTAACATTTTTATTTAAAAAATTAATCAAAAAAGAGTCACTGTAGCATTCAGATTGTTATGAATACAAAAAACCTGTTTCTTAGTATTTGTGATGGTTGCATTAAGCTCTTAGAAGATGAGATGGTGCTTAATTAAACTCAAGAGCATGGATGTGAAATGGATCAGAATTTTACAGAATAATCTATTTAATAGATTATTTCTAGAGGCAGCTATATTCTTCCGAATTTGTTTTCACAATTTCATACTGATGAAGAGATTGAAAATATGAAATACTGCACGCAATAATCCGTTTTCCCTGTAAAAGGAGTGAATTTGTCTATTGCATAAAGATGCACTGATTCATGGTCCTAATAGGGTCTTAAATAGCAAATCATATGAATAATAGCAATGGCTGAAAGAGAGAAAACAATTTTATTACTCATCCTTTCTCTCTTTTCTTTTGCTTTTTCTTTCTGTGTGTCACTTCCCCATACTGTTTTTTCTGCCAAAATGCTTACAAGGGAGGAGGGTACCAGGCACTGCCCACAGGGGCGCGACAGTTCTGGGGGACAGAGCAGATTCTGCACATTTTCCTCAGCATCTGGGCAATATTACTGTGGCTGCCAGACACAAAATTAGGACTATGCTTTTGGCTGAAATTTAGAAGTGCTGTCTTACAGGGACCTGTCTTTCCTGTTGAAAACCTACTGATGATAACATCATTTTGAAAAGCCCAGATGATCAGATAAGACCTCAGGAGCTAGTAGAAGCCAGACTTTGATCTTTTTGAGGATATGCAGAATAGCATTTTGCTGTGTTTTATAGTTCTGTCTGTGGTATAATTTTGAGCCAGTTCAGTGATCATCTGTAAAGTTTTCTCATTCTAAAGTCTTCTGTTGGACTCAGCATGATAGTTAAGCTCTTAGCTGCTGAGGATAGAGGGATGAATGTCATTTGAGAGAGGAAAAGGGGTTTGCCCTTCATTAACACCTGCAATTAGTGAAATGTTCCTGAAAGGATCTTTATCTCATAGTCTGTGGCCAGAAGTGCAGAGTATTCTCAATGTTAGATTTAAGACAAGTTAAAAGTAGGTACTGTGATGTTGATGAGCGGTACCAGAAATTGAAACAATCCTCTGTGAAAACGAACAGAAAACTGATACTTCTCTTGGCACCTTCAAGTTTCATAAAAACAATCCATTTGAATTAAGCTGTTTTATAGCCATCCTTGTGAAATGAGTTATGGTGAATTTCTTTACCTGCTTGAATTTATTACTAGGTTAGGCCAAACCACAGTTGGTAGACAGAAATTAGTAATTTCAACCTCTTTAAAAGCAATCAGTTTATTTGAAAACAGTGAAGAGGAGGCTTTTTTCCTTCAATATGGTAGCAGTTTCCCATGCTGCTGTGGAAATTCTTGCTGAAAAGAAGCTAGTGCTCAATAAAGTAGGTATCTGTATTAAGTGTATTAATTATCTAAGTGTCTTTCAAGCACATAATATTTAAGTGTAAAATTTACGAAGTGTGGGAATGTGTATGTGTTGCTGCAAACTTCTCTTTCTCATGCCATTTATTATTAGGGAAAAGGTGAACTGCAAATCTGTACTCCATTTGTTTAATAGATCTTTTACAGAACAGTATGATGGAGAGGAGCTCACTGGGAAACCTACTAACATTTTTGTTGTGCTTCTTCTGACTAGCCTCCCATAGTGCCCAAAGTATCCAATGATGGGGATACTTCCAATTTTGAAGCTTATCCTGAAGATGACTGGAACAAGACACCTCCAGTACCTCCTAAAGATTTAGAAATTTTCAAGAACTTCTGAGTGTAACACCTACACTGGACAAGGTATGTCCAAATGTCAAAAGTGCTGTTGAAAACATTGCAGATCTGTGAGCCATAAGCAGAAATTACATTTTCTGGTTCATAAAGGGTTGAAGTGACAAAAATCACTTACCTCACAGGATTTGGTTTTCTACAGTGATGAAGGTTTATTTGCATACAGATATTTAAGTCCTTCTGTCCTTAAAATTTTTTAAATAGTATGTTAAAAAGAAATACCTAGATTGATTTGACAGATAAGAAAATGTGACAGTTTTTAACGGTAAGGTTTTACTACCAAGAATGCAGACTCTAGAGGAATAAGATTGTCAGATTAATTCTGTACCCTGGATATTCTCTCTTATAAATGTGATAGGTTGATAGTTGTTACTGAGTTCAAATAGTCCACCTTGAGTTTTGTGTTCTTTTTTTGTCTTAGAAACTGGAAGGACATTGAAGTGCTAAGAGCAAGTCTGAAGAATGTTGGAGTTCAGATATAAAGCAAGATTTTTTTTTTTTGTGGCTAAGTATGATACTGCATTCAGATATGTGTATTAGTCTGTAATAAATGTCAAAAAAGATGGAGGCAGGCAGGAATAATTTTTTGCTGTAAACATTTGACTTTAGTTTAGTAAATTGTAATAATGATAGTCTGCTCTGAAGTAGACTAACTAAAATGATATTTTTAGGATTATTTTTTTTAACTTATGGTTGAATTAAGTTTCCTGCTATTCCCAGATCCTTTTTTGCATAGTTAACTCATAGACTTAATTTTATAAGTTCATACTAAACTTGTGTAATTAAAAGCACAAATTAGTATATATGTATATAATGAATACAGTACAACTAAAGCACAGGAATTGTGCGAAGATGTAAATTTTTGTACTTTGCAGAGTCTATGATTTTTATTTTTCAAATAATGTTTTACAAGAAGTTCTTTAGGAATAAAAGTCTTAAAAAAGGATAAATGAGTTTTTCATCATCTTATATACATTTTCTAATTCTTTGTAAAAAACAAAAATAATTACGTTTTAAGAAAGATTTGTACCTAAAATTTCCAATGCCTCACACTTACACCCATAGTACTTGAAAGCAGAAAGACAAGGGTATGTTTTATTGTTGTTTAAGATGCATCTTAATGGCTAATTTATTAAATTCTGTTACAATTATGTCTCTTTGAAAACCAAAATTTTGAGTGATAATACACTGTATGAAATGAGATTCCTCACATGAAAACTCACTGTAAACTTGCAAGTCAGTCCATCCTGATAAAAGGGCTTTAACTGGCTCTGACAAGTTGTTCCCTCGCAAGTTTGTTGTCTTCTCCAAATATAAAGCATGAGCCATAACAGAGCTTTTTCATTAGTGAAATAATTGCTGTTGAATGCTGAGCACTTCAGAATATCAGAGGGAAGACTGAATATATAGTACAGCCTTATTTTTCTGCTCCTCCTTTTTTGAAAATTTCCTAGTCCCTGCTGCCAGCAATTTCATATTAGAGTTCAAACCTTAGATGCACAGTCTCTATTTTCATCCTGTGCTAACACCTTTCTAGCAGCTTGAGTACACTGTGTTTTGGAAGTATTTGCAATATTGCTTCATTTTAAGTGGCACTAAATATCAGTATGTGCACATGTATGGATCTTTATATATTAATGCACAGAAACATGAAGGTAGATTGAATACTAGGCAGAATCTCTTTTTTCAGGTTTTTTTTTTTCCTGTTACATATTGTGATACTTGTGTTAATATAAGGGATTTGATTTTGAAGTGCTTCAGTTACAAGAAGCAGTTACATTCTTAGGATATTGTGGGTTTAGATATCTTCCAGTGAAGCTATAGTATTTAGACCAAATTTGTTTTTTCTCAGAGCACATCAGCTCTCTAGTGTTCTACTACTGTGACTTATGGTTCTACATATTACTGTTTAATTAGATCATACAGACAGTTTTTCCCAAAAACTACTCTCCACGTTTTTGATCTGAAAGCAATAAGAAATATAGGCTGAAGATTTGTTTTTCTAAACTAAACCTTGAATGCCTAAAAAGTAGGCATTCTAGTAATTGTTACTGAAATTACCATATTTCTGATTTTATGGCAGATCAGTTACTGGAGTCTCCTTGTGAAAAAGTTATCTCAATTTGTTTTGTTTAGGCAGTACATAAGTGCTGTTGAGAACCTGTATCTTCCTGGGGTATTATATTATTTCTTTATAAAGCAAGTCTTATCTGTATAACTCGTGGCAAAGATGGACAATGTGTAACAGAATCAGGATATTTCAAAATGATAATCTGGAATACCACAAAGCTGTCTTGATGTTATGCAGTTTGATGGCCCCAGCTGCCACTCAGTAAATACTGTATAGGAATGTATAATGAAATACAGGACAATCCATAGGAAATTACAGTTTTAACGTACTTCAAGTTCCTTGTTCTCATGGAAAAATTAATCTAACCCACTATATTTGTATCTGTGAAATTAGTCGTTCTAAATCAATTGGAAAAACTTGAAACACATAAAACACGGCTTACTTTGTGTAGGGGGGAGCAAACAGTTTGGGAGTCTTCGTAATGTGCAAGCTTAGGGTATTTTGTGGACTGAATACTACAACATCAGTTTCTTATTTAAAAATTTACATACTGCAACAAGAAAGTATGCTAAATATAGGATTTTTCTTCAAATTTCAAAGCTGTTCTGTGTTGAAGTCTTCAGATCTGAGGAAATGAAGTTGAATTTGAGTAATTTGCCACAGTGGCGGTTAGAAGTTTTGAGTGCTTGAACAACTGGAGATAGTGGATTTTCTTTTTATGGATCTTATCCATTGCTGGCAGTGGATGAACTGACACTCATTATGATGGAGACTAAGGAAGTGAATACAACATTATTAATAATGATAATCCATTGCCTTTACATTGTTTCCGAGCCATGTGTACATATACCTAACTACTGACCTCGTCAGCATGCTTTCTAGTACAGAACTGCTTTCAAATTTTTTTTTAATTAAAATACTGAACTAAAAAATAAAACCAAAACATTTTTGAAGCATTATTTTAAGTGATCAGTTATTTTCTCTACAGTCCTGGACTTATTGTGGTGTCATTACCTGGCTGTTTTATTTATTTGCACAAGTGAGTCTGCTTTAAGTCTTTACTGGGACTTCCTGGCCCAGTAATGTAGTTCTGTCTGAGTGCTCATGCAGGTAAACACTGCACTGGGAATTCTGGATTTGTGGATTTTTTTAAGAAGACTAGAAGATTTTTTTTTAGCTCCTATTCAAGTAGGGTGTTCTCTGAGGTTCATTTTATTTTGATTCTTTCTGTTAGTGTGTACTTTTGCCTATAGACTGTTGCATAAGGACTGTTGTCTTGCAAAAGAGCCATAGGCCCTTGGTATTCTACATCAGTGAACAAGAATGTTAAACATTAAAAAACCAACCTTTATTTTTGAGTTTTAGATATATATATATATATATATTTTTAACTGCCCAATCTGAGGTTTTAAGTGATAAACATGAATTGTAAACTCAATTGCCTTGTAACCAAATGATATAAATGCTTCATGATTTCAATGAAGAACATGCTGTAGATTTTCCTGTAAATTAGCTTGATCAATGAATATGTGTGCTACTGAGCTTTAACTAATGTGATCTTCCACTGTAGAAAGTCATTGTTATGGATCAAATATAGGTACTAAACTATGTTTAAATGGATTAACAGGGATTTTACAGTTTTGAAAGCAATGAAGATACGGCTGTTCCTCAGCCCATCTGCTTGCCATTCAGAAGAGTTGTGATGCAGTGCTTCCTATGCTATAGAAATATTTTTCAGCTTTCAATGACTGTAGCATGATTCCTTTTCGTACTGTACTGTGTACAGACTTCCCATGTTTTGCACTTTTCTATGGCAAACTTTGACTGCTTTATAAATACTCTGTTGTGTAGCAAGTAGTGATAGTAGTAGCAGGCATTTGTATGCTGCATAATCAGTTTGGACTGCTCGACTTGTGAGGTTCACTTAGGCTAATGTGTGTTGCTGGTTGCTTGTTGTAGCTCGCGTGTAAGTACTGTTCAAAGTTACAAAGTCAGCCCTCATTGCACAATGAAAAATCACTGTGATCTGTACATAAACCCTAATAAAACTTTATTGCTGTTTTATTTAATGTAATATCTGTCAAATCTGGATTCATTTAATAATAAACCTTTATATCTTTCCAAATGTTTAAACCTAGTTTGCTTCCATTTATGCTGGGAGGAGATTGGGGTTCTTCATCCAAGAAAATGGTGGAGGGGAGACGAGAGGAATAGAAAAACAATTTTTCCTTCTTTTCATGTTTTAAGGCTTTTCAGAGCAAGACACAAGTGTTGGAACAGATTTCAGATGGTGTCAAAAAAGCACCAAAAAGTACATTTTCAAAACCATTTCAGGTAGTGCACCAATAATCAAAAGTGTTAATTTGGACTTCTGTCTTAGTTTAGGGCAAATTAGGAAGGAAAACTCCAAATGGGGATTTCCCCAGGGAAATGCCCCTCCCTACTAACTGGTCCGGGAAAAGAAAAAAAATTCCTTAGAGAGAAGTGGAAAAAGCTGTTTATTTAACAGAAATTGATTAATATTAAATAATAAAACCTCTTGCTGTTCGATGGGATGGCAAGTCTAGGAAGAAAAGTCCTTTTCATGTGGTGTAGCTCGGCTCGCTCAGGTTCTTATCAGTCCCTCCGGCGCTGGAAAGTGCCGAGGCCCAGGCCCCGGTGGGCCACAGGCGTGAGCTCCCGGGGTTTAGCTGGGTGTTCAGTCCAGAGCAGGCTTGCACAGATCCAAGAAAATTGGGAAAAAAAAACAAACAAAGGTCTAGGGAACTCCTCTGCCTCAGCTAGCTAAAACTAACTAAAATCCAGAGAGAAGCTCTGTCCCGCTGTCTGTCCGTGCTGCAGACACCACAGTCCAGGAGCGGGATGTGTGGGAGTGATGTTTTTCCTTAACACAAACTGCGCGCTTCTTCTTCCCCCTCTCTTGCTCTCAAAGCCAGTCTTAAAGGTGCAGAACTTAATATATAACATAAACCAGACGATTGGGGATACCAGTATCATAAAGTCACCCCAGGACAACTTCTCGTTAAACTTTGATTATATTACCCTAATTGCTTTGGCCTTTTCACAACTTAATGACCTGAACACTGTCCAGAACACTCAGTTCAATCAGTTTCTTTAAGCACTATAAAATACTCTTACAATGTCACGAAAAATATTCTTACAGTGTCAGGCACACCTCACCCTTTATTTCACCTTCTATTAAAACTTGAAAAGTTCATTTTTATCAAAATTTGTTTAGCTGTTCATGTTAAATTCCTTCTCTTGGGTCAAATGTATTTTATTTCTTACCCTCTAGATACCATAATCTGGCGATAATTACATAGTCATAGAACTTACTGAATACAGTTTGGACTAGTTAGGGGCTCACTTTTTTAAGACAGAATATTTATTTTTTTCTGCCTGGCTTCATTCTAAATTCTGTGCACTGATGTTTTTCTCTTGTAAAGTGCTATATCATGTGCTTCAAGAGACTGCTAATGGAAAGTGAAGGAACACTGCAATGAGTCCTGGCAAGCTTTTAGTCATGTCTTTGACATGAATCAAAAGGACTTTTCAAAGGACATTTTTAAATGGTAACAAGGAAGAATTTTGTTTGGTATCTTGTTCATGCCCCAGCCATATGGCAGAGTTTTTGCGCATTTGTCCTGAGTGCTAGATATTTCTTGAATGCACACGCAACTCTTTATCTTTTCCAATAGAAGCCATTTAAAATACGCTTTTTCACTCATTCAGGGCAGGTAGATTTTGTTGGACCACACTCACTACCCTCAAATCTCTCACTTCATGCTTTATTAGGCCTTTTTTTTAGGACAAAACACTCCTGAAACAACATTTGACAATAGCCCAGTGTTCTGTGACCCACTGCTAACCAGTAAAGGTGTGATACTATAAGGAATGGTAGAAAGCAACTGGCACTGGTACATCTGGATCCTGCCCAGTACTTTGTGAATTCTTATATAATTCACCAGTTGAGCCCTTCTGTGTGCAGACTCCTGCTAGGTGCTTCAATCTCAGCTTCAGAATTCAAGCATCTTTTCACAGGGGTAGTAAAAGACTCTTCTGCTGCACTCAGTAGATGACTCCATTCTGTCTTCCATGACCTCTTTCTATCTACCCTTCAAAAAATCACCACATATGAGTGTATGTCAAGCTTTGTATTTATCCTTGAAACCAAAAACACTGTAAAATCTTAGCAAGATGTACAATTTTCTTTCTATGTATCAATATTCTTAATACAGTTTTGTGCAATCGTATTTCAAACTATTACTATGTGAAGAGTGCAGCAGTCAGTGGAGCTACTGTATCAGCTTGGACTTAAGGTAGGTTCATCTGATTCACTGCATTTCTTTCAATGCCAATGAGTTGCTGGGGCAGTTGAGATCCTAACATCCCTTATGCATCTGTAGTTGAGGCCACTGAAGTCTCTGAGGAACTTACCAAAACTGATATGCAAACTTTAACACGAAATATGGAGGCCTGTCTTACTTCTAGTATGCAGACCTCTAAGGTGCCATGCAGGTGGTGTCTCTGCTGTACTGGTTTTTACATAATTGGAGTACAGATAGATACCTTAAAAAGTGTAGTTGGGTGTCAGGTTACACAACTAACCAACCGCAGACTTTTTTTAGTAGTTAGTTGGTTTTTTGTTTTATTTTTTAAATTCTTTTCTCCAGCATATTGTCCCAATTCTGGACTATTGTAATAAAGCAGGCAAATGAATAGGAGAAAAATACTTTGGGGAAAACAAGCTTGAATTGGACTTTAATCCAAGAAGTAACTGAATATGCCTGACCAGTACATACTTGCAAATGCAGGTGTTCTGTCACTAAATGTTGTAGAAAAAATGGTGCCTGTTTAGGTCTATGCTGGCTTTTAGGCTAAAATTTCTGTTTTTCTCAATATTTTTTCAAAAAAATGTAGTTTTGGGAGTCAGAGTTTATTTCAACTGTAGTTGGTAATTGGTCTAGTTCAGAGAATCCTTGATACTAAAATCCCTTGGTTGGAGAAGGACAGTGCTTTACAATCAGGCTCTTAATTTTCTGCCCAAGTGTAATCTGTGCAGAGGAGGTGGTTGTGCTTTCAGTGCCAATGCTGTTGCAATTCACATGAAGAAAACGGCAGCTTGCTCAAGCCTGCAGAGCCTAAACTTCAATCTTTTCACACTGAAGGACCAAGGCTCTTCTTGGAGCAGCTTTGTGAGAGTATAACTGAGCAGCTTAGTAAATATTAAGACTGAGGTGTAGAAAAACTCAGAGCTTTACAATGGCATCTCTTCAGACGTTAAACATTAGGGGGCTCAGTTTTTGATTTGGAACACGAAAGTAAAATATTCTGTGCTCTTATGTGCTTCTGAAATTTGGTGAACAAATGCCAAAAATGTGAAGTGTTTCAAATTGTTTAATATCTAGTAGCTTCTTTGGCCTGCTTTTATTTTCTCAGTTACGAAGTTGTAGTTGAATTCAGGACCCTTTTCTAATCAAGATGCTTGTGAAGCACCATTTAAGTGGAACAGTGCTGCTAGGTTGTGTTAATATAGCAAATAAAACATTCACAAGTGGCATGTCTTCCATTTGTACTGGTAACCAGTTTTCTTTGATGCATGTTAACTAGATGGGTTAACATTCTGTTCATAGTTTTTGGTCAAGCTTTTTACCCATTCTACTAGCAGGTTTTGCAAAAAAATAAGCACGTAAGTAAACAGAAGAAGGTTGTTGTTTTTTTTCCTGTTAATAAAGCTGAGCTGTGAGATGATATGTAAATGCATTATCAAGGAACAGCAATCTTATGTAAATGCATTATCCAGGAAAAGCAACCTCTTCAGATTAATAAATTCCTTCTTTGAATGAATTCAGATTTAGGGGGTTTTTTTTATTTTTCTTACTGGCCTGTGAGTTAAAGCAGTGCTGCAGTCCTGTGCTGTGGCACTTGCTCCTCCTGCCACTCTGCCATCATCCATCTAGCAGCAGTACGTGAGCCTGCTAACCCAGCTGATTTGTCAGAAATGTTTCCCTGCTGGGACCTGAACTCTGAATCAAAAGCACCACTTCCACCTAGTTTATCTGAAAAGTTTTCAAAAGCTGAGCGTGACTGAAATCTTTCTATTCTCTGCAGGTACTTGCCACCAGGGAGCAAGACTATTGCAATGTTCTGTAAAATAAAACAAAATTCCAACAGCGTGTTTTGAACCTATTTTCAAATATTTACATAAAGCTCCTGTGACTCATGTAATCCTCAGCAGAATCTTGATGATGGAAAAAAGAAAGTGCGGTGGTGAATCACTTAAGCAAATGTTGTTAAGGACTGAATCCTTACTTTAATATCACCATCTGGCTATTGAAGAAAGATTTAAAATAATTATAATAATTAATAATTATTTTAAAAATATTTTCTAGGCAGTCTATTAGAACATGAGTGACCTTACCTTTGAGTCGGGTTTTTTGCTTACCCTTGGTTTTGGATTTTGAAAACATCTGGAGACTGCTGTAGAGACTAGAGTCTGCTAGTGATTTTCCATTTTATTTTTGTTTCTATGTGGCTGGTGATTATTTATATGCAAAATATGGTACATTTGAAATTATGTTTAATTTGTTAAAAAATTTAATTAATACATGGGCAACAAAATAAGAATAGACTGTGCATTCAGTTTAAGATATTTAACCATATCAGAGCTTTGGATGCAAAATACTTTAAGGTTGGAAATAGAGTAATACTGTCTGAATAAACAAGTATCATGAAGATGGGCTGATTTCAATTCTTCAGCTGGGGATTAACAGAGCTATTGGATCAGGAATAAAAAGAGGAAGTTTTCTTCAATTCCTCTCTTCCAACCTGTCAATAATTATGTAGTTTAAAAAGTATAGTTATGGCAGTAGCCAGTATTCAAGACTGAAGCTGGGATATGTACGGGGCATTTCTCAAAACTGCAATCTGGTTAGTGGTGATGCCTAGCAGCTTGTTGTCTGTTCTGTATCAGGTTTTATTGGGGTGCTTTCATGTTGGGAGTCACCTCCTGAGAACAGACTGTTGGTTGTTGTCACTCTAAATGCCTTTTGTATCACTTTGAAGTGTAAGTCTTTGTTAGAAGTATAAAATCTCACTTATTACCCCAAGACCAAGGTTCACCTT